GGGCACTGTCTTCCGTTGATGTGACGCCGCACGTGGTTCACCAATGAGCGCTCATCGCCAAAGCGACGCTGGCATAGAAGACAGAGCTGAAAAATGACTAGTACTTTGAGCTCTCCTGAATTACTGGTTTTCAGCCCTGTTTTGCTTGGGAAGGGCATTTAGCACTCGGCTAATTCGTTTGGTAGTTCCTGTTATATTACACGACTCATCTTGGTGAGACTTGCAGTTTCTTGTCAGTCTAAAAAGCTCCTTTTATTGCATACCCTCACAGGAATTAACAGGCATACGCACCAGGCATCGGCAGTGATCGCTGGGAAGTGAACAATCCCCCTCACTGAGCCGAACTGCGCCAACCGTCATAACTGTCCCTGTACGTATCTAGCCAGCTTATAACACACAATGCTGGACAGTGAAGCTCGAAAATAAACAGCTGAGAAAACATACGTGCTGGTTTTCTTTGCCCTGTGGGATCGGCGCCCGTTTGCGAAGATGTTCATAGAGTTTATCAGGTCTTGAGAAGAAGCGACCGCAAAAAGGACACGCACAATACTTCTCTCCACTGTGATGTCGAACGTGCTTTCTAAAAAATGTTTGAAAATCAAAGGATAAAGGATATCTTCGCCGTTGATCAATCCCTTTGTGGGATGCGGCACGCATTCTACTTCCATTCAGAATCGTAGTGGCTTATTGAATGCGATGTGGCCTATACAATGACTTGCGGTGGCCAGCCGATGTACAAGTCAGTGTTTTATCCTCCCAGACGAATCTGGTACCAATTTACCGTCCCCGGAGGGTAGAAGGCTTGGTTGGCCTGGGCGGGAGTCGACCCGGGATTTGAACCCAGAACCGCGCGAGTGGTAAGCGCCACTTCTCACTGCCCACCTCCGCCTGTTTGAAAATTACAATATGAAAAAATAAGAAGTCCACTAAGATGTCGATTTCAGGGAAAAAATTCCGCGGCTCAAGTGAGTAAACCTTTGAAGAAAATAATCTATATTATTAGGAAGCACAAACCTCAAATCTCCTTTGTTTTCAAACTGCCGGTAACAGTTTTCCCAAAGACATCTATGTTGTGGAAGTGACATTGATTCTTCATCACAAACACGATCGTCGCTACTGAGAAAGTCAATATGTGTCATGACATGATTGAATAAGTGCAGTGGATCTGAGAAATTGTCCTGAAACGAGTTACCTTGATGAATAATAAAGAAAATGTGAATGGAGAACCATCTTTATAAAAGATAGACCAACCAGAATCAGAGTGGCATACTGAATGATATTTAAGCTGTACAGTGTCTTATAGGGGCCACCCGATGTACAAGTCAGTGTTTTCATCATCACAGACGAGCATCATACCAATGAGTTGCTCTTACTTCCCCCGGTGAAGGTCGATCTGAGACTTCCATTCGTCCGTTGTGAAAACAGCCGCAGATCGATTGGTCAAACCCCTTTCTCTCAAATCCGTTGTTTCCGCCTCACTCGCTTCCCCAAATTATAATCAAATATGTTTCCCACGCTCTGATACCTAGAGAACGGTAGTGTGTAAGGCAAGCTGGGCCGCTTAACATGGAAACGGTACCCCTCCACAATTCGCGCGGGATCCCACCTAAGCGTTCCATTACTTCAGGGTCCGTTAAAGGGTAGCACACTTCTACGAATAAAAAAACACTGAAGCCGGCACCCCATCCAAGACTATGAGCAGACCAACTCGCATACGGCACGTACACTAGGGAGTCCAAGCGCGCGGGGTCATAATTTGGTCGCTGGAGAGGTCTCGTATTTGCTCCTCCAGATGTTTAGGTTGAAAACTATACCCGTTTTTTTGTTTTGTTTACGTGCCTCCTGTATTCTCCCTCCCCCCCCCCCCCCCCCCTTTTCTTTTTCTTTGAAGAAACGAAAACGGTAGAAAGCAAAGAGAATTCAGGTATAATTAGTAAGGTGGGGCTGGGGATGTATGGGGCTGAGGATGTGGAAGGGACGAGGTTGTAAGAGTAAGAGACGAGCTTTTAGGGGGAGGGGAGGCTATTTTGCAGAAATTCTTCCCAGCGGCAGGTCCTGCCCTGAATCAATTACCATTACGATTCTGAATGAATATGGAAAGATTGGCACGCCCCAAAAAGGAAGCTACCGCGGTAAGCTTTTCCTCCTTTATTGGATACCAGAGCATGAAACAAGTAAAGCTGAACGTACATGGCAGTTATCCCAAAGACAGTAAGTGATGTCGCCTGTGTATGCTATATCTAATGTAGGTGGAAATCCGCAGCTGAAAATCCAAGATCAAAAATCCTTTCAGATTGTAATCTCTCTATCCTTTATAAATGAACAAAACAAACCTCTGCATGCTCTTGAAATCTGGTTTTGCCCCAATAATTAACAATCCAACGAATTGAGCATGGGCATGGAACTGATGCATTGCGAGATGGCGCTTCAAGTCAACTGCTGCATCGGCTACATGTAGGCAAGTACCAATTGGACAAGGCCAAGGATTGTTATCTGTAAGCAGTACAACTAATGAAGAATTTGGTAATGGCCAGCTCAAGGCCTACGTAATCAGTTCGCACTCAATATCAATTGAAGGGGCAGAAATGGTAAGTGGAAAGTGGCCAGTTCACCATGTGCACGCTTCGCGATCCCAATTTCGGATCGGCTCTCGCTCGAGTGAATCAAGGCTTCTACCCTACGGGACAGGTCAACTGGCCCCAGGCTTGTCTGAAGGAATCAGAAAAGCATGCGCATCGATCGCGCGACCGCAAGTATGAAGGCTGTCTAACAGCCATACTCCAGCAAAAACTATGTTACAGTGGAAAGTAATCCCAAGTAAAACACTAATATATTTGTGAAAAACCTACATGACAGCTGCCGACTGTTCGCATACTGATTGAGGTGGACGTCAAAATGAGCTGCTAACTCGTCCTTACTGTCCATGACGTATCGACATTCAGCCCACATACAAACGAATCGAACTGAATTTATGTGCAATAAAATTGCATTTTAATAACTCATAAATTCTTCCAAAGGCAGTGGGCATGATCGCTGGAGGGGGCGCTTGCTTTCTTCGTCATTGGTGGAAGAGCTGCGAAAATCTTTGGCCGCAATCCCACCCAGTCCTTTAGTGGCGTTAGCGTCTACCGCCCGCCCCCCCCCACGATTGCTGGTATTTGCCGCAATCATTCCGTCTTAAATCAATATCAGTAAATAACACATTGCAAAAAATTGCTGTTGAATGACGGTTAATAATTCCTAATGTCCGAGAAGTCTCCAGGCTTGTAAACAAACGGTTATTTCCTCAAGAATGTGAGTACCACCAAACATCATTCCCCTCTTGGCAAAGTTATGTCGCAGTTCCACTACTTGTGAAAAACGTTCGAATGTCCCCATACAGTACCCATGCTCGCCGTGTCAGAAAGAAAGATGTACGCGTGAGTC